TCAGCCAATCTATCCATTCATTACTAGCCAACCTTGATGTAGACCTTGCTACATACTGATTAAGATACCTATTTATTGCCATCTGCTACTTATTTTTATGTGTTACCAATGAATAATTTGCAAACTTTTTTTCCTCATGTGCCAGATCTGAGCCAGTGCTAAATAATGCAAGATTTGGGGCTTTCAGGTTATAAAATGCTCCTCAGCAAAGAAAAATGCATTTCAGACAGATCTGAAAAGTAGATACTTGAGTTTTTGAAAATGGACAATGGAATGAGTTGGTGCTAGGTGGGCCTTGATTACAGCAGAATTTCATCCTTGCTAGAACCTCATTGGACAAGAATGTGGATGTCAGGAGTCATCCAGCGGCTGCACACCTGGGCAGAGTAGGCTCATTGTTTGAAATGTGCAAGTGTGAATTCCCTGCCTGGGATGAATTTCAAAATGGGCTAATGCTGAGACCATTTATCGTTGCTCAGTCATTTCAGTTGTGTTTGACTCTGTGACCCCATTTGGGGTTTTCTTGGCAGAGGAGTGGTTTGCCATTTCCTTCTCTAGCTCATTTGACAGATGAGGAAACTGAGGCAAACAGGGTGAAGAGACATTCCCAGGGTCACATGGCTAGGAAGTGTCTGAGGCCAGATCTGAACTTGGGAAGATGAGTCTTCCTGACTCCAGACCCGGCACTCTATCCACTGTACCACCTGGCTGCCCTTTATTGTATGTTACTTTTTATAAATAGTTGGGATAGAAAACTGGAATTGGACATATATTTTCAGCTAATGTGGAGATTTGTTTTTCATGGGGGAAGGGAGGCAGGTTCCTGAGATAGTTACAGTAATGCCAAAAAATGAAGGAAAGAAAGAAAAGATCTTCAATCAGTCATTTAAAATAAACTACACAGTGGAGAATAGAGGCAGGGCTATTTTGGAACTGGCTTGTTACCGTTTAAATCTACTTTTAAAAGCCATATGTAATGGAGATGTATGGTTTCATACATGGTCCTCTTTGTATAGGGAAATGGAGAGCAGGGAAGAGTGTTTGCCAGGCACTGTGCTAAAAGGGCCAGGGATGCCAGGAGAAGTAAAGACAGTCATTCCCTGGCCTCCTGCAGCTTCTGTTCTGATGGGGGGAGACAACACCTAAAAGGGGCTGAAAGGGGAGGGGGTAGAGGTGAGGGCTGAAGAGTCAGGAGCACGGCCTGACGGGAGATGGAGCACGGAGCATGCCTGGCCTGGGCCAACCCCCCTGAATGGAGGCTCTCCTGGAGGAGACTCACCAGTGGGAGAAGGGCTTCATTATTGGTGTTTGTCAATTTCACACAAAGGGTTACTTTTTAAAAATTCAGTGTACTTACTAGCTGTGTGACCCTGGGCAAGTCACTTAACCCCAATTGCCTAAAAAATAAAAAAAAGTAAAAACAAACAAATAAATAAATAATTCAGTGTAACAGGAAAGCTCCCTGACACCTCTGGTCAGTTCTGGCCATCTCCTTTGGATCTCCCAGACTCCTTTGCTTTTTGGCCTCTCAAAAGCATTCTTCCTTTCAGTTCTCTATAATAGCTGCCTTTGCTGGGGTCTTCCAGAGTCTCTTAGATGCTGGAGCCTGGATCTGGGCCAACAGTCTTAGCTGTTGTGTCCCCTCAAGCCGTGCAGACAGTAGGTACTTAATTGTTGTTTTCTAAGTATGTATTGAAGTGCTTGTTGGTGCCCAGCATTGAGCTGTGTCAGGGAGCAGCTCCAGCCCTGAGAAGTCCTTCGGTGAATATCTGGGAGAGAAATGACATGGAGATCCTAAGGGCACTAGCCTGTGTTGTGATAATAAATGCATTTCTAAAGGCTTTAGAGTTTAGAAATCTCTTCCCTTGTAATACCTTTGCTTGGGGTAGTAAGCGAGAATATTCTCATCCCCATTTTGCAGATGAGAAAAGCAAAGCTTTGAGATGAAGTAACTTGCCCAAGGGCATACAGGTAATTATTATGCAGGGGCAGGATTTGTACTCAGGTCTTTATGACTCCAAATCCAGCAGTCTGGATTCCCAGTCTAGTCTTCTTTCTAATACAGCACAAAATTCCTAGACATTCTTTATGGCAACCAAGAGGAAAAGCCAGTCTTGAGCTCTCCCTTTTTTTAAAAATTAATTTATTTTGATTTATCAGCAATCACTTCCATAGGTTTTTGAGTTTTAAATTTTTCTACCTTTCTCTCCACACCCTCCCCAAGACAGTGCGCAATCTGATATAGGCTATTCATATACATTCCTATTAAACATATTTTCACATTAGTCATGTAAGGAAGAATTAGAACCAATGAGAGGAACCATAAAAAAAAAGGAAACAAAGCAAAACAGAAGAAAAAAAATAGCAAATAGTATGCTTCGATCTGCATTCAAACTCCATAGTTCTTTCTTTGGATGTGGATGGCATTTTCCATCATGATACCTTTGGAGATGTCTTAGATCCTTGCATTGCTGAGAAGGGTTAAGTCTATCAATATTAGTCATCACACAACGTGGCTATTACTGTGTATAGCCTTCTCCTGGTTCTGCCCACTTCACTCAGCATCAGACCATACAAGTCTTTCCAGGTTTTTCTGAAGTCAGCCTGTTGATCATTTCTTCTAGCAGAATAGTATTCCATTACTTGTTTAACCATTCCCCAACTGATGGGCATCCCCTCAATTTCTAATTCTTTGCCTCCACAAAAAGAGCTGCTATAAATATTTTTGTACATGTGAGTCCTTTTCCCACCAAGGACACACTGGCATTTGAACCTAAGTCTTTCCTGGTCTGGAAAAGAGAAAACTCAAGGCTGTCCGGTATAGGAGGGATGAAACTTGTTCTTGTGGGGCCCAGAGGGCTCGGAGCGGCAGAACCAGCAGGAAGGGGAAGAAACTGCAAGGAAGCAAACTGAGACTTGACGGCCCGAAGGCCTTTCTGACCGTGAGAGCCAGCCCAGAGTGCAATGGGCGACTCCTCTGGGGGAGTTGGTTTCCTCTCATTGGGGATATTCAAGCAAAGGTTGGTTGGCTGCTGGTTGGCCTCCTGGATGGGGACGAGGGTTCTTTTGGGGAATGGCTTGGATGAGACAGCTCCTGACATCCCTTTCACCACTGAGGTTCTGTGATGCCAATGTGGCTTCATAATGCTGCATCCCGACCCATCTTATTAATAGAAGAAGGAAAGAGTGCTTGGTGCTTGGGAAACAGATTTTCCCCAGGCACCATTCCCCTTTCCTTCCTTCCATTCTCTGCATGTGTTCACAGTGCCTCAGAGTCTTACACACACACACACACACACACATGCACACACACATGCACACACACACGCACACACACTTCCTCCCACCTCCACCCCAGGCTGATCGGTTTCCTCAGACCTTTCCCAAAAGCTGTTCTTGGCCCTGACCCAACGTCCTGCCCATGCTCTTGGGCACAGGCTGATGCCCCTCCCTGGTGCAGATACGAAGAGCAGGGTTTCTGAATTTAGAAAGGTCCAGCCCCTTCTAGGAGCATACTCTAGATGCTTGAACACATAGGGGAAGGCTTGCCTTGTACTTAAAAAATGTGCTGAAATGGATAGCCTCATATGGAAAAGACTTTGCTGTCCTTAAAAAATATGCTAATACTGATAGCCTTAGCACATGTTACTTGTTGCTAGTGGGAAAGATACCGAACCGGACATCTGGGGGCCATGGGTGGGGAAGAATAGGGTGGTGGTGGTGGGGGAGAGCAATTCCCAGTTTCAAATCCTGACTCAGACACGTGTGGCCGTGGCAAGCCAACTTAACCCCACTGAGCCCCTGTCTTCCCCTGTGTAAGAATGGGGATAATAATTTCAGTATCAGCGTCCCAGGGTGGTTATGAGAAGAGCTATTTATAAAACTTTCAGAGCTCTGGTAACGTGGGGGTTGATGATGATGATGATGATGATAATGATGTTACTATTGTTGATTCCAGATCAGTATCCCACCTCTGACCTACCTGTGTTAATTTAGGCAAGTCACTGTAGCTCCCTGGGCCTCAGTTTCCCTTTCTGTAAAATGAGGACATTTGGGATAGAACATAAACTAGAGCTGGAAGGGACCTAATCCTATCCCTTGTTTCACAGATGAGGAAACTGAGGCCCAGGGAGCTGAAGTGGCTAGCCTAAGGTCACAAAGGTAGTAGGTGGCTTAATAGGGATTCAAACTCAGGCCCTCTGACCCCCAGTGGAGCATTCTTTCCATGGCACTGTGGCATGAACAGAGGAAAATGACCTCTCTTCCTGCCCCTCTCCCTTTCCTCGCAAGCATTTTTTTTTAAAGTAAAGACCAACCAACCTGAATGCCTTTGCTTAGGAATGGAAAAGCTTTGATTCAGTGTTTACTCTGTGCCAAAGTGCTCAAGATGCAAACTGAAAATCAAGATGGTCCCTACTCCCTAAGAGCTTACCTGATCAAGGGAGCTGCCACTCATCTGTGCCTTTAATAACAGGATAAGATCATTTTTATATAAGTTGATCTTTCCCCTTCCCCCTCACCCCCTTAGCTCCATGGAACTATTATGGGAAGAGTCAATGAGGACAGGCCAGGTTAGGGGCTAGAGGCTCTCTAGTCACCCAGGAGCTGATTCATCTAGACCCCTGACTTCTTCTCTGCCCATCCTTCCTGACACCAGGACCATAAGGTCGAACAATGTAACGGAACTGAAGACAGGTGCTTAAAACTCAGAGCCTTGCTACCTGTTAGCAGATCTGATCCAGCTGCTGTGGAAGAAAAGAGTGGGTCTATTGGCTAAAATCGGATTTGAGGGGTAATCTCAGGATCTCTGTAAGATGTTTTTCTTGTTCAATAGCTGTTCCCTTGCATACTGTACTCTGCTGTGATATAGAAGCCTGCTTTGAGCTATGAGAATTTTTAAAGAAGAAAGAAAAGCAAGTGACTTTCTCTGTGTTCCAGTAGCTCTAATGATGAGTGTGTTTGTTTGTTTTTTTCCCTTTCCTCCTCCGGTGGGGGCTCAGCACGTCTGGAGCGAGAGTGAAGACTGTTTGCCTTTCCTGCAGCTGGCACAGGATTACATCTCCTCTTGTGGCAAGAAGACCCTCCATGAAGTGTTGGAAAAAGTCTTCAAGTCTTTCAGACCTGTAGGTGCTCGCTTGGCTTCTAAAAGAAGGGTTCTTTGATAAGCATGTTGGGAATCCAGGGAGGGTGTGGGGAGAGCAGGCAAAAGCCAGGCTGACTAATTGTTACTGTTTTGTTGGCTCTCTGGCCTTAAGATAGCACTGGGTGTTATGGGAGACTGGGAGTTTATTGGGGGTGGGAAAGAATTCTTCTGAAACAGCTGGTTGTTGAAATGAGGCTGATTATTTCAAGTACTATGCTCATTGAATCAGGAATCCCAGTTATAGGGGAAGGGAAATGGATCCTTTGGTGGATGATTAATAGCACACTGGCCAAATACTTTTTGGACCCAGTCTATGTAAGCCCTTAATATTTACTGAGCTCTGGTCCTTTTTGTTGCACCCTGGATTTGGGGACCGACTTTTTCCTGAAGTCTAAATGGAAGTAGCCTTTTATATTTATGGAGGAGAGAGATTTCCTTCCATTTAGAATCGATTCCCTACACCCTTTTTTTCTCAATCCAGATGTTTCCCAACAACTACCAAGATTCTGAAAGCCCATCCTCCTCTCCCTCCCGATATCACCACTATTTTTGTTTAAATGTTTTATGTCAAAGACACAGATTCAGTGTTGCTTCTTCAGGTTTCACGAGTCTGTCCGTGATGTGGAAACATCAATGCCTCTCATTCCTTGCTTCACGGAATTGTCCTGTGTCTGGCACTGTGGCTCTCACTGTAGGACGTCTGCAGTCTGCAGGTCCTCAGCTGAGCTCCCCCTGCCCCCCTCTCGGTCTGACTCTGGTGGCAGGAATGTCTAAAGGGTTAGTGCACATGATGTGTTTAAAGGGCTGTGAGCCTCGAGAGTGAGGACGTGCCCTAGATTGGATGACTAGGAGTGTTATAAACGTGAATAAAGAAGGATTGTCTGAGTTCTGTGGGTGAAGCTTTCAGCCTGTCCATCTGAAACATTGTCCTTCTTCCAAATTATACTTTTTCTAGCTTTCATTCCTTTCCTGTTTCTCCGCCTCCTTCCCTTCTCATTCCTTCCCTCCCTCTGTCCTTTTTTCATCCCTCCTTCTCCTCCTTTTCTCCTTTCTCTCCTTTTCCTTCCTTCCTTTTCTCTGGTATAGTTTTTGATGTAACAAAGTGATAAACAGCTAGATATATTCTCATTTTTTAACAATTCCTATCAATACCTTTTGTTTTTATATCATAGTAATGTCCATGTATACTATCCTCTCCCCTGCCCCTACCCATACCAGAATTGAAACAAGTGAATCAAAAACAACCAGTTGAGCAACTGTGTCTGACAATGTATGCAGCATTCTGTCCCTGTAGACCCCTAGCCCTCTGCTACCAGGAGGAAAGAATGTTGTATTATCTCTTCTTTGGCACTCAGTATAGTTATTTCAATTCTTCCAAGTTTGCCTTTCTTTGACTATTCTTTGACTTTCTCTTGTTGTGGCCACATATCTTTTATTGTCTTGATTCTGCTTACTTCATTCGAGGTCATTCCAGTCCCAGCATGTATTAAGCCTCACCCCCTCTGTGCTGGGCACTGGGCACTGTCCTTGAAACAAAGCATGAACCAATCGCTGATCCCCAGGAGCTTTTGGCCCACTAATCAATACAAAGATGCTTTTCAAGCAGTAACATATATTGTTTAAGAGGCACATAGACAAACCCCACAAGGTTGCCAGGAGAGTAAAACATGGCATCCTTTGCCTTCAAGTTTTGGGAAATTTGATCAATTCATGCAGCTGTCTAGGAGGAGCTGGGGAGCCTGCAAGGAAAAGTGACTTTGTGCATTCCAGAACTGTGTTCAGCATTGACTTGGAAGTGTCTGTTCCCTGCCCCACCTCCCTGTGCTCGTTCCTCCCCTGTGCATTCCGTCCTGAGAGTTATGTTGGATTTGCATGTTTTCATCCTGAAAAGAAACTTATTGTCAAAAATCTGGCATTCAGAGGAATGCTTGAGCTGGACTTGGGGTTCATCAGTAAGGCAGGTACTGTGTGTATGTGTGTGTATCCCTTTGAACAGAGAAACTTTCCAACCCAAAGTTTTTCTTTCTCTTTCTTTCTCTCCTGCCTTCCTCTGCTCCAGCCAAATAGGAAAGATTGATGCTGCAGAAAATTACTGAGTGCCCAGGACTGAAAAGAAAGCTGTTTGAGGCTCTGATGGAAAGGGGATAAACTTAACTTCCTGATTTTCTGGATCCATTCTTTATTTTTCCTAGACCTTCAACTAGTTATTTTTGAACCCAGGACATGAATGGCATGGGGGAGTGGAGATGGGATGGGAAGGGGTGATGGGCTCACCTGGGGTGTGACTGCTCATGGGTGGGTGGGAATGCAAGGCACACCAGGATACCATGAGTGAGCTGCTGAAGGGGAAGGAAGTCGGCCCTGGGATAAGGCCACAGCTTCTGCTGCCATAGGAGTGGGGCCAGGCAGGGGGGAAAGCATGCCTCAAGTAGTCAGAGACTTCCCTCTCCAGTGAGGATGACTATTTGTCTTCTTTCTCTGTGGACTGCCTTTAAAGACCTCCTGCCCATGGTTCACTACCTTAGGTGCTATACAAAGCACATTCAATGGGTACAGACCCCCCTGGATAGACCCCTTTGTGAGGTTTTGTGTGTCTGTGTGTGTGTGTGTGTGTGTGTGTGTGTGTTTTGTGGGAGAACTTTATAGAGTTGACGATGTGGGGTTGTTTGTGTTCCCTTGACATTTTGTGAGTAGAAAGTGGGGAAAGAGAAGGGGGTGGGAAGATATGAACAAGGGGGCAGGACTTGGGAATACCTTTGTCCCCCTCCTCCACAATAGACTTTAGAAGGAGGTGGGAAAACAGTTTGTAAAGTGTCATCCATATAACCCAGGCCACTTGAGTGAATTAGGGAGCCTGAAATAGGTGATAGCAGAAAGGAAACATGCCTAAAACAGTGTACAAGCATGTCCTATTTATCAATCCAAAGATGCTCCCTAAGCATCCCTCCCCACTTAGGACTCTTTTCTTTGTCATCTCCTTCTATGGATTGTCAACAGAAAGGATGTCTTTAAAGGCCTCTTGTCCATGGGTGGGGCCACACCACCTTGGTTGCTCACGAAAGCAAGGTCAGTGGACTCAGACCCTTCCAGGTAGCCCCCAGTGAGGTTTTCTCTTGGGCATCAGTATTACAGAGGAACTTTGGAGGGCTGACTACATGGGGTGGTTTGTGTTCCAACTCCAGATCTCTGATTCTATGATCCTATAATTTAAGAATAGAGAGAGGATCTCGAGTGGAGTGCCATAGATCTCTACCCTTAAGAGAGCCAGGATCCAAGAAGATCTTAACTGGCTAGAACAACGGATTAAATTGAATAAGATAAAAACAAAGGGGGGGGGGGGGAAATGAATGACTTAAGTACAGGTGTGGCTAGAAAAGAGTGTGTAGTAAAGAGTAAAGAGTGTAGAAAAGAGGTTTTAGTGGACCACAAGCTCAATATGAGTCAGTCAAGAAATGCTCCCATCATCTTAGGCTAGACAATGAGAGGCATGGTACCCAGAACAAGGGAGGGGATGCTGTCATGGTGCTCTTCCTCAATAGCAACAGTGTTGCGTTCAGTTCAGGCACCAAAGTTTTGGAAGGACATTGTTAGATTGGCATACATCCAGAGGAGGGGACTAGAGATTATTATGAAAGGCCTTGAAGAAACTGGAGGTATTTAGCCTGGAGAAGGGAGAAAGCAAAGGTGTGGGGCAGGGGGAGAGGAGCATGATAGCTTGAAGTATTCCAAGGGCCATCCTGTGGATGAGGAAGCAAGGGAGAGCAAACCCTAACACTTAGACCCGGGCTGCCCTGGTAGGGGGGAGGAGGCGGGGCCTCCTCGTTGCAGGTCTCCATCACTATTTGTTGGGTATGTTTTAGAGAAAGAAGATTCTTGTTCAAGACAGAAACTGAGACCCAGAGAAACAAAATGACTTAATTTGGGAAACATTTGTTAAGCAGCAACTAAGTGCCAGGCTGTTGTTATTATTATTACTGAAAACCCCCAAAATGGAACAATTCCTGCCCTCAAGGAGCTTATATTCTACTGGGGGAAGACAATATGTCCACAGAGTGTCTGCAGAGTAGATACAAAGTAACCATTTTGTTTCCATGTCACTTCTTGACTTTTTTTTTCTGCTGCACAAAGGTTAGTGCAGCACATTTCATTCTTGTATGCACAACAGGGAATTTTATCAAATTTTTTTAAAGGAATATATTGATTGAATTATTATTTTTATTTAGCAAGGAAACTAGAAACTTAAAAATTAACCAAATACCAGTTTAGAAATGTAACACAGAACAAACACTATTTAAAAATGTTATTTAAAGCGCCCTATAAATGCTAACTATTGTTATTTATTTTGAGTTTTAGGGTGTGCCTTGCCCTGTGCCTTGTATGTGGGTGCCTGGGTCTCTGGACATTTTTCTCACTATTACTCAGAACATAATTTATATCCTGTTAGGCGGCACAGTGAATAGAGCATTGAGCTTAGAGTCAGGAAGGCCTGAGTTCAAATCCAGTTCCAGATACTGATTAGCTGTGTGACCCTGGGCAAGTCACACAACTTCCATGTGCCTTGGAAGGCATCTGTAAAATGGAGAAAATAATAATAGCACCTCCCTGCCACGGTTGCTGAGGATCAAAAGAGATAATAATTGTGAAGGGCTGAGCACAGTGCCTGGTGCATAGCAAGCACTATGTAAGTGTTACTTGTTATTATTATTATCCTAGTCAGGCTGTAGCTTGCTTGGCTGTTTTCTTTGCTCTGAGTTACTCCATGTGACTCTTCCAGTATTTCTCTGTGTTCTGCGTAGTCACGGTTCCTTCTGGTACCAGTATGATTCTGTGGCACCTCCACACTCCTACAGGCTCCTCCTTTCTCAGTGTGGACAAACCCCCTTGTTTTACAGGTGAGGAAACTTGCCTTACAGAAACTCTACAATGTAGGTTCATTTAGTTATTACTATCCCAATCGATGGATGGGGAAGCTGAGGCCTGAAGATAGAAGGTGGCTTGCTAAAGCTCACACGGTCAGTTATGGAGCCAGCCAGCGAGCTCCTCCACTTCCAAAGGGCCTCTGACCTGGAGACAGTGGTCCCGGTGCTGGAGACGTGACTCAACCCACCCTCATAACATGTACTCCCCTTCTGTGTCTTTAATGTTTCTGAAGCACTTTCTTCCATCTGGTCAAATGGAAAGAATGCAGGACCTTAGTGTGAATGCAAGGACCTGTGGGGCCTTGGGCAAATCATCCTTAGTTTTTTCACCTGTCAAAAGAACTCAGGATAACCTCCATGGGGGATGGCCTCCAAGGTTCCTTCCAGTTTTTGATCTGTGATCCTTCCTATATGTCATTTTACTTCCTTGAGTGTCAAATGAGTAACAATCTGTGCAAAAGCATGTGGGAAATAGAATGTGGGATGGGAGGTGGGAGACAGAATGGGGGTGAGTGGGAGGTAGGAGACAGAATGGGGGATGGGGGTGGGAGACAGAATGTCACCTGTGGGAAACAGCAAGGTGGCCAGTTGACTGGAATGTAGACTATGCACGTAAAGGCGGGTTGGAACCCAAGAGGGGTAAGAGAGGGGAGAGGCTAGAAGTAAGGAGGCCACTGGGAGGCTGTTGGAATGGTCTAGGTGAGTCTGCTGAAAGCCTGAGCCAGGGAGGTACCTTTATAAATGGAGAAAAAGGAATGGATGTGGAAGAAATGGCGGAGACTGAATTGACAAGACTTTGGCTACCGATTAGATATGGGGGATAAGGGAGAGAAGAATCAGGGGAGGTATTTTTGGCAAGAGTTAGCTAAGACACTTAAAGTCATACCGACAGGACCTGATGCTTTTCAGTCTTCTCAGAGCCTATGAACTTTCTTTCCTCTAAATCACCAAGGGATCTGTGATCTCACTGACGTGAGCAGTGAAGCAGATTGCAGCCCATTCATGCCAGCCTGCCCATCCTCCATCATTCCTACTCAACCAGAATTAGATCATCAGGAAGAGAAAGCAGAATCCTCTCCTCATTTTAGGGGGTTAAGGCAGCACAGCAAATGTGCTGAGTTTTGTCAGTGACAGCTTATGTCAATTGCATGAGTTAATGCATCTCACATTAGGGTGTTTGGGGGCTTTATTTTGGTGGGAGGGTCAGGCCTTCTATTTCACAAGCTGCTTAATTCTGATCAGTAGACTTTTGTCTCTGTCATGCTAGGTAACCAGGCAGCAGTTCACAGAGACTCAGAAAGTAACCCAAAGATGAGGTGTTTATACTATTCATTCCCTTTTCCTTTACTTAAAGGGAAACTCCACCCCCCACTGCAATACCCCTAATTCCTAGATGTCCATGAGTGGAATTTCCAAACCTACCATGGAAAACAGGGATGCTCATAAATAGACAAAACCCTTGTGTTGGGGTTTTCTCCGAAAGACATACTCTAGTGTTAATGAGTTAACACCCTTTGGCTTCCTCTCTCTCCCTGCCATTACTGGGGCTGACATTTTTTCTCTTTGGTGACAATTGCTGCATCATGCTAAGCCTGAAAGAGAAACGCAGAGCAGCCCACCCTCATGGCCTTGGTAATCTCAGTATCCAGGACCACCAATGATGCCTAGTGGAAGATTCTGTCTTGGCTTGATTCTAATAGCTACCAAGGCAAGCCAGATCAGAGCTGCAGAGTAAATGGACTCTTTTCGAGTGCATCTCTCATTTTCTTGAGCATGGGGTCATACTAGCTTCTCTTTAGGAAGAGAGAGAGGAGGTAACACCAAGGATGCCATTTCCCCCGCAATGGCATAGCTAAAGAAAGTGTTGTTCCCACATCAGACTCTACAAAGAGCAGGTTGGCTGTTGACTGGCTCCAGCCTTGGAGGTCCTGCTTGCTACTGGTTATTTATAAATCTGAAACCCAGCACAGCTACCATTCACTTATCACACCCTCAGGCTAAATCCTCCTAGCCCAAATTTGTTCCATTCTCATTCCAATAGCCTTCCTTTCACTTCAAGGAAACAAATGAAAAATCTGGCCTTGAAGACAGCTGTGTTGACTAATACAATTCAGCAAGTATTTATTAAGCCTCGGTTTCATGCTGGGCACTGTGCTAGGCACAAGTCAGAGCTAGCTGTAACTAGGGTGGGGTAAATGGGGTTTTGCCCCAGGATGCCAAATTTAGTGGGTGTTGACTGTACTTGCCGTCCTTTAGCAACTAGAAACAACAGAGCATAGCATTTAGTTAGCAAGCAGAATAAATTAAAATAGGAAACTACTTCACAACATGACTAATATGGAAATATGTTTTGCATGATTACACATGTATAATCTATATCAAATTGCTTAATATCTCAGGGAGAAGGGAGGGGAAGGAAGAATTTGCAACTCAAAATAAAAAAAATATTGAAAATTGTTTTTTACATGTAACTGGAAAAAATAAAATATTCTTTTTAAAAAAATTGGAAGCTACCAGATGGCAAGTAGGGATGCACTCCTTTATTCCTCTTTCTCCCTCCCCTCCCCTCCTCAGCTTCTCTCACAGTGACTTTGTACTGGTGTCCCAGTATCCCCTATGCATGGCAATGTCCTACTTCCTCCCCCACCTCCCCCTGTATCCCATGCTGGTCATCTGAGGGTTTTAGGCTGCTTACTTACCCTGAATGCAAAGAGACCGTCCCTATGGTCAAGATGCTTTGGTGAATTGAGTACAGATCCAGAGAAGTAGAATAACGTATGTCCAGTGTAGTTGATGGATTTTAAGCAGCGCACCTCCTTCTTGCTCTGTACAGCTGATGAATACCATCCATAATTTTTTAGACTTTCCATGGAATCTTTTAAATGTCTTGAGCACAGTCTCTGTCTGTGATGCTATGTCGTATTTTAACATTTAAAAGCTAGATAATCTCTAGGCCTCAGAGTGAAGGCTTCTGTCTTCTGGCCACCCATCCCCTAGAAAGACTGACATGCCAAGTATATTAGAAAACAGGAACAAATATGGAGAGGCCATCCCACCCCCGTTTTGCAGAGGAAGACAGTGAGGATCAGAGGAGTTCCATCAATTGCCCGTGATCATACAGTTAACATGTCAATGGCTGGAGTTAAACTCAGGGGCTTGTGACCTCCAATGGAAAATGCCAGTGGGCTTTATCAAAGGCCGTTTTTTTTGGCAAGGCGATCAGGGTTAAGTGACTTGTCCAGGGTCACACGGCTAGTAAGTGTTAAGTGTTTGAGGCTGGGTTTGAACTCAGGTCCTCCTGACTCCAAGACCGGTGCTCTATCCACTGTGCCACCTAGCTGCTCCTTATCCAGGGCCATTTAAATGAATTCTGTACCCTGTTGTTTGATTAAGACCAGTTGCCTTTTCACAGGCTTCCTTCCTGAAGTTCACTGGCATCTCACTCACTGAAACTTCTTCTGCCCTTTACAAACAGTTGCTGGGGCTCCCAGATGTAGATGATGACGCATTCGAGGAATACAGCGCCGACGTGGAAGAGGAGGAGCCGGAAGCCGACCACCAACAGATGGGCATCAGTCAGCAGTAAACTTTGGAGGGTTGTGAGCAGGACAGATGTTAACTTCTTGGTGCCAGGTGGGGTCATGGGCTCCTGTGTTTGCATTTTGCATTCACTCATCACCACAGGAGGTCTGACTCCCAGCATCCGAATTAAAATGAAATAGAATTCTAACCACCATGAAATATCTGTGATAAGCTTTGCTGTGGGGTGGCCTGACTCCCCCCACCCCCTGCCCCTTCTGCTCCCAGCAGGTGTCGGGGGGTCGTCTTGGTTGCCTTGTGCCATTTTGAATCTAGAATCTGTTTTTGTAGCCAGCTTCATTTTCTCTTTTGTTCATGGGAAAGGATTCACATCCACTGACTTGAATGTTTAGTTTGAGGAATGTGTTAGGTCTGGATCTGGCCAAGGGAGAGCCATGTGGGAGGTAGAAGTCAGCTACATTTTTTCATTGATTTTATGACCTTTTCACTGCTAGTTAGAGAGCGATCTTGCTTCTAAAGCAGGTGTTTTGATATCACTACATAGTTTGTTAAATGCAAAAGGGATGGGAATTCCTCAGATTGGTGCAGGAGGAGTAGGAGATAAATACAGACCTCTGATAAAGGTTTTTTAAAAATCTCACTTCAACATTTATTAAGCGCCTACTGTATGTGAGTCTGTTATCCAGATATTTTTAAATGACACCATCCCTGCTCTCAGGGAACTCACTTTCTATTGGGAGGTTGGCTGGGATATGTTAGACATTCTTACCTGAATAGCCAGGCAAATCATTACAAGTATATTCTATAACATTGAAAACTTCCCAAGTCTAAATGACAGTATGTGAAGGATCATGCCACCATTTAGAACTCAGAAGATGAGCCTCAGAGAGTTGTTTGCAATGACCAAACCAGGGTCACACAGAGAGTAACTATTAGAGGCCAGATTTGAATGTGGGTCTCCTTGATTCAAAGATCATAGATCTAAAAGGAGCCTTGGTCTAACTCTCTCATTTTACAAATGAGAAAACTGAGGCCTAGGGCAGGGTAGTGACTTGCCCAAGGTGGTAAGTACCAGAACTGGAATTTGAAAGGAGCCCCCTGCCTCCAAACCCCTTGTCCTTTCTGCTGCACCAGGCTGCCTCCAGGTCTAGGACTTGGTGACCTCCCTCCCTTCCAATGCATCTCAAGTCCAAAGCAACTTTGGAATAGACAAAAAAAAAATCAACGAGCAACATTGGGTGATTTTGTAAAAGTGTTTCTAAAATATCATATAAGAGATGAAACTTTCAACTTGCTGCTTTTCTAGTGAGTTGACAACTTGTTAATATCCTGATGTCATTCAGAATGCCAAGTGTCAGGTCAACCTTGAAGCCATATGTACATTTGTTAGGGGAGTCAACTCTACTGTGGTCAGAATTAAAAAAAAACAAAAAACACATGATGGAATCCTTCATCACTTTCCCCATCTGCCTTTTAGTCTTTAGAGAAAATAAGGAGGCAAGGATCCCATTCCATAATCTACTAGACTTTTAAAGAATCAGATGCTTCTAAGTGTCTGATTTGAGCCAATTTTTGACGTGATGTGGAATCTCAGTCCTTTCATACAAGATTAGGCTCACTAAAATTTGGTGACTGAGGCACCAGAACCTCATAGATAACTCCCAGAAGCACCCACTGCCGCGTTATCGTTCATTCCACAAACATTTGGAGAGAGCCTTTGGACAGCAGGATCCATTCAGGGTGTGTGTTCTCATCCCCTTCCCTCAATTGGCACTTTGGATGACTCAGGATGGGGAATGCTTCCATAGCCCAAGATGGGGCTCAGTGGTCAGTTTCAGGGGGTGGGAGAATGCTTGAGCATGCATGGGTTGGTGGGTCAGTATGGCCACATGTTGTGCATTCTGGAAGCTTCCAAAGTATGTTTGCTATGTGGCCAAAATCTTGAATTAAAAAAAAATATATATATATATATATAGATGTGTGCACATATATATATATACACACATACAAATGTGTATATGTATAAGCTTCAGTGCTTATTGGGTTTTGCGTAATCTTTTAAGGACGTAGGCATAAACCTGATAGCTCCAATTTTTTTTGCGTGAGAGTGTAGGAAGATGGATTAATGGTAGGAGAGCATTGACTGTTCATCATGTAACACTTTACCAGAGTCATAGGTAGTTTGTTTTCTCAAATCAAATACAGTTTTTGTGGTTTCTATCCCTACTTTGGTCCCCAAGTTTTTATTTTCTCTTTATTAAAAAAATAGATTATAGTCCTAAGAAAAACCAATTTTTCTTCTTAGTAACTTATTTAAGGAAATAAACATCTTAATATATTCCAATAACATCCAGTGGAGTTATGATATATGCTACCCTTTACTATTTTGTCCAGAGATGAGCTGGGGAGCATGGGTGTGGTTAAGAAGCCATTCAGAGCTGTAAATTATGTAGATATGGTTTCCCTGGTGTGGTGATTCATTTACACACAGTAGGCCATGAGAATGAGCTCCTTCCATGAAGCTTCTGAAGCTCACCTACTCACAACATGGTGACCTGGCATTGCTCGCTCCATTTCAAGGTAGACTGGAGTTTTAGCTGTTGAGGATTAAACCACAAATTTACATTTGTATTAACATGGAATGGACATTAATATAGAATGGATTTTATCAAAAAATGGGGTAGACTTTGACCAAATACATTTCTGTATTATTATGTTCATATTCTCTGTTTGTAAAATGAATTGAGAGAAACAAATCTCCAGCCTCCTGCCCAGGATTCCATTCTCTGTGTCTTGCTTCAGGGGTATGGACTGAAACTGTTTCATGTTATACCTCATGACGTCACCCCAAAAGATGTCAGTCATTTGGTCAATTAGCAGACATTTATCAATGCCTATTATGTGTTAGGCACTGTGTTAGATACTGGGCATACAAAGACAAAAAATGAATAGCCCTTGCCTTCAAGGAGCTTATGTTCTAACAGAGGAGACATGTACATATATAAGTATGTACAAAATGTATACAAAATTAATATATATATTCTAGATAATTTGTCTTGATAATCAAGATGGTTCCCCAAGAATGTTTAATTCTTAGATTATAGGTGCCCCCATGCAAACTAAGAGCTAGAGTTGGTCTTGGAGGGCTTTCGCAAGCCCAAAGCTTTATCTGAGACTGTTGAAATGGCTGCAGAACTGGAGACATTACTGGGAAAGTCCCTGGGCCTCCGATGAACATTCAAACATAATCTTATTGCCTTGTGGACTGTGTGTACAAAGGTCAGGCCCAAGGACACTCTCAGAGGAGCACGATGGAAGGATACTGGAGCTTGACCATCCTGCTGTCCTAGGGTCCAGTCATGGAATCTCCTTGTACATCAGTTAGTAACTACCCCAACCTTTGGTTCGTGAGATACCTGTCTTAAGCTGAATTCTGTCCTGTTTGCATGAGGTTCCCCAGCAAGGTTCTCATGTACTCAATAAAACCGAACAGCTACATCTTCACAGCTGCTGCACATTGAAGATAGGCACCTTTGCCTACGAGGCAGACAGAAGGTTTGGCCCTAGAGTGATTTATTAATGTACCTGGGATGGAGAATTAAAAGGGTTTAGAACTGAGCTGTTATTGTTCAGTCATGTCTGACTCTTTGTGACTCCATTTGGGGTTTTCTTGGCAGAGATACTGGACTTGTTTGCCATTTCCTTCTCTAGCTCATTTTACAGATGGGGAAACTGAGGCAAGCAGGTTTAAGTGACTTGCCCAGGGTCACACGGCTAGTAAGTGTCTGAGGCCAGTTTTGAACTCAAAAGGATGAATCTTCCCAGTTCCAAGTCTAGTGCTCTTTGCACTGTGCCATCTAGCTGCCCCATTAGAGTTGAGAGAAACTAATTCGAGAAAGTACTTTGGCTCTTTTTCTATCTTGTTCTCTGTTACTTGCTTTATTCTGTTATTGGTTATTGGAATCTCCTTCTGATGCTCTATCATGGCATGAGGGGAGCCCGGCTTTTGGGAAGCTGTGCTAGCAGATCATGAGTCCTGGCGGGGCCTGCCAGGCTGGACCAGCTTCAAGCTCAGGCCTCGGGAGGGATGATGTGTCTGTTGTCCAAGCACCGCTCTCGAGAAGGACTTGTCGCCATGGTTGGCCGTAAGGTGGGGTACTGTTGGCCACAGCCATTCTCAAAGACCATCTCAGTACCAAATCACGTGCTGTTTGTGTCTGTTGAAATCACAGATCCCTGATCTGCTTGGTGTGTGTGTGTGTGTGTGTGTGTGAGAGAGAGAGAGAGAATAAGAGAGAGAGAGAGAGTGAGAGGGGTTATGCAATGGATCGGAAGTCGCCTTGGAGCCAAGAAGAACTGAGTTGAATCCTCCATCTGCCACATGCTAACTGTGTGACCCTGGGCAAGTCACTTAACCTTGTGGTTCTTTAGGCAGCTCTACAAGACTATAAGGGGCCAACTTACATTGGTAGAGTTTCCTCACCTGGGAGTTCCTTACACTAATGAAACCACAAATCATAGATAGAGTCGCTCCTCTCATGTGTTGGTGGGTGTATTATATATTATGAATGATAATAATAATAACAACTAACATTTATATACTGTCTACTATGTGCCAGGCATTATGCTAAGCACTTTACAAATCTTACCTCATTTGATCCTCACAATATCTGGGAGGTAGGTGCTAGTATTCTCTCTGTTTTACAGTTGAGGAAATAGAGGCAAACTAAGGTTAAGTGACTTACCCAGGGCCATATAGCTAATAAATATCTGAGGCTAGATTTGAACACAGGTCTTACTGACTCCAGGCTTGGCCTCTATCCACTGTGCAACCCCCCACCACACACACCCACACACCCCTACATAAGTATATGTATATATATATATATGTGTGTGTGTGTGTATATATATATATGTAGATAGATAGATAGATAGATGATAGATATAGATATATAACCAAAATAGAACCTAAAGAACCAGTGGGTTGAGCTTGAGATACAGATATAGATGTAGATATATACCGTGTTGAGTGTAATCTGTAACAATTTATCACTGTGTTAACTGACCAAGGCAGCTGGTGATACAGTGGATAGAATGCTGGGCCTGGAGTCAGGAAGACCTCAATCTCAGATACTAGCTGTGTGACCTTGGGCTAGTCATGTAACTGTTTGCCTCAGTTTCCTCATTTGTAAAATGAGCTG